TACTGATGGTGGTAAGTTTAATCAGTAGTTTGATCGAATTGCCCTTTTCGTTATATGCTCAATTTGGGATTGAAGCCCGTTTTGGCTTTAATAAAATGACGGTGGCCTTGTTTTTTATCGATATGATCAAAGGCTTGGTTTTAAGTTTGATATTGGGTATACCATTTTTATGGGGCTTATTGTGGTTGATGGAACAAATGGGGACATATTGGTGGGTATGGGCGTGGATCGCAACAGTGGTTTTTAGTTTGTTTATCCAATTGTTGTATCCTACACTGATTGCCCCACTTTTTAACAAATTTGAACCCATAGAGAACCCACAAATCCAGTCGAAAATCATGGCGTTAGCTAATCGTTGCCACTTTAAGTTAGGTGGGATTTTTGTCATGGATGGCTCCAAACGATCTGGTCATGGCAATGCTTATTTTACAGGCTTCGGTGGAAATAAGCGGATTGTATTTTATGACACTTTAATCAATAGTTTAACACCAGATGAGGTCGAGGCTGTTTTGGCGCACGAATTGGGTCACTACAAATTAAAGCATATTATCAAGATGTTGGTTGTTGGGGTGTTATTGGCGTTGATACAGTTTGCTATTTTGGGTTATCTCAAAGAGCAGCCCTGGTTTTATTCAGGATTGGGGGTATCCCCTTCGATGCAGCCAACACTGGCCAATGCCCAGGCTTTGTTGTTGTTTTTTATGGTGATGCCATTGTTTACATTTTTTGTCACGCCGTTATCGAGTATTTTTTCTCGCAAACATGAATTTGAAGCAGACGATTTTGCTGCCCAAAATAGCAATAAAGCGGACTTAATCACAGCATTGGTTAAAATGTACGAGGATAATGCGTCGACTTTAACCCCTGATCCTGTGTACAGTAAAATATTTTATTCCCATCCGCCCGCCTTCGAGCGAATTACCCATTTACAAAGTGCGGGGAGGGGCGATGTAGCACACTCTGCGGTGAGTATTTGATGGCGGTAAAGGAAGAAGGTTTGGTGATCGCTTCTTTTGGGCAACACGCATTGGTGAGGTTGTCCGCAGAAGTACAGATACCGTGTACCCAAAAGGGCAAGAAAAACGCAGTCGTGACAGGAGATTGGGTACAGGTCGAAGTCGATGGGGAACAAGGTCAAATTGTGACCATACTCCCCAGAAGAAATTTATTTTATCGCTCGGATTTATTTAAACAAAAATCGTTTGCCGCCAATATAGACCAAATTTTTTACGTTGTGGCGTGTGAACCGTATTTTGATGTGGATCTGTTAGGTCGAGCGGCCATTGCGGCTGAAAGTGCCCATATCAATTTTGTGATCATCTTAAATAAGAGTGATCTGACCCCATTATTGCCATTGGCCAGAGAGCGGCTGGCACAGTATGTTTTGTGGTACCCTTTAGTTCAAACCACTACCCAAATAACGGCTTTGTCGCTACAACAGCAGTTTTCGACTTTACTAGAGGGGCAGACCACTCTTTTGCTCGGACAGTCGGGGATGGGGAAATCATCTTT